CCAAATTCACATCTAGATCTATCTTAGTATCTTTATTCTTCAACTCCTGCTGCTTCCTAAACAAACACTAGCCAGTGTCACATCCCTCCCAGCTGCAGCTTTTTACTCCCAGCAGAGTCCCTGCTAAATACTTGATTGGACTCAGCTGGTTCTGCCTGGGCTGCAGTTTCAGTGCATGTTCAGACTGGAGATCCAGAGCAGTTCCTCACCAGAAGGGGAAAAAGAAATGTCCCCTTTTTCCTAGTAGTCCTTTTTCCTTCCATGAAATGCGTATCTAGAAGAAGGGGTGTGAGTGAATGGAACAGAGGAGAAAGGTGTGAGACTAAGGGAACTTTGTAGATTTGAAATAAAGGGACAAGTGGGTAGGTATATGGAGCATGAGTGAGGTGAGAAAAATTAAAGAGGAAAAGGGAGAGAGTGGACCTGAGAGAGAATCAGAGAAAGCTGAAATGTTGAAAGAACGATATGAGTCAGTACTTCAGTCTGAGAAAAAGAAGGCAGAAAAGATTCTCCAAAATATGCAGTCATCAGAAGGAACGAAGGAATAACTTGCAGTGGAGCTGTGGAGACATGGTAAGTTTTATAAATTTGTTAATTGAGAGCTTAATACTACAGTGTTAAACCAACTTCTAAGCCCCCAGAGGCTACAGGCTGCATGGGCCACACCAGTCATGTTGCGGGCCAACCCGGCTGCATAGACCCCCTGCCCCCTCCCATTGCACTGCATGTCCAGGTGGGTACCCCCTCCCTCTGCTGCAGTGCGTGCCCCACTCCCTATTGCATAAGGGCGTGCAAGTGCAATTTTTTCCCCACTCCTCCCCCCAATAATGTGCAAGCATGTGAGAGTGATATCCCCCCTTTCCCTTCAAACTAGAACATGTGGGTGCATGAGCATAATGTCCCTTTCCCCTGCTGCAGTGTGTGCCCTTGCTTGTCCCCTCTACCCCACTATCATAGCATGTGGGTACAATCCCATTTGCAGCCAGAGCAGCAGGTGGACAGGAGCCCACAATTTACAACTTAATCTGTGGGCTAGGTTTGGCCCACCAAGGGATTTTATCTGGCCTGTGGCAGATCCCTCAGCTTTGCTTGGCCCACGCATGGGAGTCGGCCTGAGCCATGTTGCATACAGCTGGTCCCACTGTCCCCAGGTGTGCAAAGGGGCTGGGGTAGCCCTGTGCAGCAGCTGGACTTTGCACCCCAGCAGTCTTAGTGGCAGGGGCTCCTTCTCTGCCAGTATCACCGTCACTGCTGGACCTGGCCCCACTTTCTGAGCATCCTGGCTCTGTCCCATACCCACTGCCAAGGGTGGCAGATGGAGCAGGTGGGCAGGGTCTCCATGGAGACCAGCCCGGGACCCCCACAGGCAGGGTGTGCTTGGCTGGGGGATGGGGCTGCAGGCAGGTGGGGAGCAGTGTCCAGGAGTGGCATAGGTGGGTGGGGCTGGGGCCAGGGCCAGGATCACAGGGCAGTGATAGCATGGGGCCGGGTAGAGCTGTGATCTGCATTCTGCACAATGGATTGTGACTGGTCCAATCTGGGAGGGGGGCAGAGCACATGCCCATGACCTCACTGCCCCTGTCCCAGCACAGGCGTGTGTGGGCAGCCCCAGTACAGTTCAGCTGTGGAGTGACACAGCCCAGCAGCGTGGGGAGGCCCCAGTGGATCAAGATCAGATTAGGCTGCCCCGTGCTGCTGGGCACCACTCTGCAGCCACACTGTACTTGGGCTGCTTGCACATGCTTGTGTTGGGGCAGGAGCCAGGTCATAGGTGTGCACTCCAACCCACTCTTGGGTCTGGCCAGATCCTTTGTCTGGGGAGTGGATGATGGCTCTGCCCTAGCCCAGCACTGTCATCACCCCAGGATCCTGGCCTCAGGCCTGGTCCCACCTGCCTGTCCCACTCCAGACATTGCTTCCTGTCTGCCAGCCCCATCCCATCCCATCCCCCTGCCAAGCATGCCCTGCCTGTGGGGATCCCAAGAAGCTCCCAGGGTATCCTGTGGAGGTAACCACTTGAGTTTTGGTGAGCTGTTGTGGGAGTGCTGACCTGGCCTGGAACAGTTCATCAAAACTCCCTAAGTGGCCTTCCAGCCCAAATAACTGCCACCCCCTGACTTAACCCCTTGTGGGCTGCCAATTGGACAGCCCTGTATGAAATTAAAACTGAAAAAATAAAATGCAGTGCAAGATGAGTTTGAAAAGATTCATGTTGTAATGAGGATGCGAATACAGGTATACGCAGGTTGATAAAATGCTTTTTCTGGTTCTCTTGAGAACTATAACAGGTCAGCTTGGAGTCTTGGAGCGTTTGCTTTTGGGAACTTCCCTTTTCTTCTGGGAAGCTCAGGACCAATAAAATACGGGGCGGGGAGATAGTAATGGCGAAAGCTGATATCATGAGAGAAGCTTATTCCATTGTTGGAGAAAGGAGTAGTCTGTTTCTGGAGTGTCTGGCCTTAGACCCCAGAAGTGTGGACAGCAGAATAAGCTTATCTACAAGCCTCACATTACTCCCTTCGAGATTTCTGCCTTTCGTGTTGTGTATCCCTTTCCCCCCACATCTTACTTGACCTGAATTCTCATTATTTGACTTCATAATCCTCTGGTCTCATCTACATGCACACAAAAGATTATTTTACTACAGAGAATTGCCAGGGCCTTGGGCTCTGTTTTCCACTTAGTTACAGAATTATCCCACAGTAGCTTAGGTGCTGGGAAACTTGTCCTGTGTATTATTGCCTATGGGGCAAATGCTGAGGAAGCTGCTAACAAGAGAACAGATGTTTAGTGGCTTATGAGCCTTGCTGAATGCAAATGTCTTCTGCAGGCTCTTACCAATAAACCCTCTGAGTAAGAATCATGAATTTAATGGACCAGATTCATTCCCAGTATAAACTCGCTACCTTCAGTGGGATTACACAGAGGAAGAATTTGATCCTTAATGTGTGGCATAGTGTCTCTGTGTAAAAGTTTTCAAATTAAGATTATTTTATACATGATATAAACATTACATTCATAAACAAAAACTTACCTTTTTTTCCAGAGATGAGGTCCAGCTCCTGGGCCGTCATGTCAGCAGGTTTGCAGTGAAAGGATTCCATTGAGATATGGATATGGATGAAGACATTTTTCCATAATGACTCAAACAACTGTCCTGACCCATCTAAAATTCCTCGTCTCAGTAAGAGTATGTCTTTTTAACTTTTTATTATTTTTATTTTGTTCAATAGGCTTTATCCTCCCATCCATCAGGGACCTGAGAGCAGGACTCTTCCACCTCCTTGCATAGGTGACTGAACTCTCTCCTTGATGGAGTATGCAAGCTTCTCTTAGTAGGGTAGGCTAAACACAGACTTTATCCCAGGTCTGATAGGCCTGGGCTTTGACTCCAAGTAAAACAAGGGCTAGTAGGAGGATAATCCAATTTAAGTTTTTAGACCCTGGAACTGGATTTCTCCAAAGCCTGTTATTCTGGGATCAAACAAGCCTGTTTGTCCTACTTTAAATAAGTACCTGTGAAGTATCCACGATTACACTTTTTCCCTCTGGACAACTAAGGGCTAATTCAAGTTAATTGCCATTCAAACTGCATATGTAAACATTTGTTTTGAGTCAATGCTTGGGACAATCAGTCCCCTGGGATAAACCATCTTCTGTTTTTAGCCTTAGAGCCAGACGCCAACCTTTTGAAGTTTGGGCTGAGTAGGAGTTCAGAAGAGGTGCCTTCTGATCATGATTGGTTGGAGAAATTGTATTTTGTGGTTCTCATTCTTTATAGCATCTGTTTGGGAATTGCTGGCAGCATATTATAACTTTTTATTTCATATAAATGCATCAGCGGGCTTGGGAAATAGTCATATGCCTTCATATGTGTTTATATGTAGAAATAAGTTTATGACTGTCAGGCTAACATGAGAGATAGCAAAGGTTGCTACTAAATTTACACTTGATAAATGCTGTGGTGTATGATCAAGCTGCTTTGTATAGTTTAAGTATCAAAGTCAGCACATTCCCTGTCAAGTGCACCTCTTATTGGGTTCTTTGTCAAGTGGTGCTGTATTCTTCCTCTGCCGTAGTTCTGAGAAAGGAAAACAAGCATCTGTGTGGAAGAATAGGCTCACTTCTCTGTAAGCACAGGTGCCCTTGATCTGTAGCTTATCATGGGTATCATGTCATTTGGATGGGTACATCTTTTGGGGCATTTCTTGTTAAAATATTAACAGCATAATAATAGCTAAGGCATTACCGATGAGAACTGCTGTAAAAGGAGAAATCTCTACTCCACTGTGAATAGTGCTTAAGAAGACTAGCCAGTAGACTGGATGGGAGCATCCAGATGAACATGCATGTGCCTGTTGTGGCATCTCAAAGCAGTTTGAGATACTGCGATGTTCCCAGAGTGGGTTCTAAATTTGATTCCTGGAAATCCAGGTTAAAAAAAAAAAAACCCCCACTGCAAAAAAAGTGGCGCAGGGCACATTCCCAGAGCATGCCCTAAAGGAACTGGAAGCTGGGTCCTCCAGAGACGATCTGGCACCTGGCCACAGCATCTCTATGGCTGCCCCATGCGCTAGCACGCTGCCTCAGTGTCTGGGGCAAATAAGAGCAGGTCAAGGATGCAGCATGATCCAGACCCAGGTGCTGTTCCAGGTAAGTAGGGATGTGGGGGGTGGGAGGACTGCTTGGGAGGGGTGGGTCCCCTGAATGGCCCACAGTTCCCCCTGCTTGGCCCACAGCCCCCCCCCGGGCAACAGCAGAAACAGTAGCCATCAGGACACTTGGTGCCCACTACTGACTGGCAGAGCCCCCTGGCAGTGCGACACAGCCCAGTCGCTTGGTGCCATATTAGCACTGCATGTAGGGGCCACACACCCTCGGGCCCAGCCGGGTCCTGCCTGCATGGAGCTGGCCCAGTGTGTGGGGCACATGGGGCAGGATCTGGCTAGGCCCAAGGGTGCGTGGCCCCTGCATGCACTGCCAATCTAGCACCAGGCGGCTGGGGCTGCGCCACACTGCCAGGGGGCTCCAGCAGTCAGTAGTGGGCCCTGAGCACCCTGACAGCTGCTGCTCCTGCTGCCACGGGGGGCCATGCACAGAGCAGGGGGGTGCTGTGAGCCATGTGGGGGGCAGGGGGGTGAGCAGAGACCCATCCCTCCTGAGCAGTCCCCACACACACACAGCCCCCAAACCACCCCCATAACCCTCCCACCCATGTACTCGGCCACAAACCCCACACCCACAAAACCTATACCCATCCCTACACACGCACACAAACCCCTCCACAGCCCCCCTCCCCCCCAAATCACACCCTGTGCACCCAGCCACCGGATGGGACCTGCTGGAAGAAGCCACAGCTGCAGGGGGCAACTGCCACACTGCAGCCCTGTCCCATGCCCACACCGGTGCTGGGACATGCAGCCCCAACTGGAGGGAGCTCCTTGTCCCAGGAACCACTTCAGTGTGTGAGGGACCACAGGGAAGGGTGGAGATGGCAACAGGGGTATGAGAGAGAGAGAGAGAGATAGTGCTCTCTTGATTGGGGCTGGGGGTAAGAGCAGCCTCCAGAGCCAGGCTTAGAGCCTCCCCTACCCCCCTAAAGCAGCCTTTTCAGGGGGAAGCGATCCTGGGAGGGAAAGGGCTTGCCTAGCCCAGTCCCTGAGCCCCAGTCAAGGGCTTCCCAGGAATGGCATGGGAATCACTGGTGCTTGGGCACAGGTGCAGGGAGCAGAACAGCAAGGGCTGGCACTGCTCAGAGCCACAAAGCAGCGGGTGGGACAACTGCAGCTGGACTCATGGTCTGGTGCTGGGACAGAGCTGCAGTCAGGAGGGAGCTTTTGGGGGGCAGGCAGGGGCTGCAGGTCAGGAGTGAGGTGCACTTGGGGGAGGGGGGGCACTGTGGGTTGGGAGTAAGGGGCAAGGGTAGAGCACTGGCGTATCAGTGCTGCTCAGTGGTCCACATCCGGGTGAGTGAAGCGGGCTGGGGCAGCTCTGATTTTTCTATGACAAAAAACCCAAAAGCAAATGCCAAAGTGTATAGATATTTAGAATTCATTTTATGATGATGATAGAGACACTGGTAGGTTTCCAAACTGCTTTAAAATTGTAAATATATCAGTAAAACATTGGTCAACTGATATCTCTATATATAGTGGCATTTCATTTTAATTGTGAAAAAACATGGATTTGGGGAATTTTAATGAGAGAATTTGGGTTTCTTATCAGAGAATTTGCAGTTTTTAAACAGGGAAAACCAGGATCTCTGCTGGTGAGACAAGTGGCCAGACCCGGGCAGAGGAGCCTGCCCAGGGCCAGCACCAGGGACCCAGCTGGAAGGCAGATGAAGTGGCTGGCCTCCCTGCCATTTGGGGCCAGGAGGACATGCTTCAACAGTTTGAAGCAGGCCACTGCAAAGATCACATCTTCTGGGCCATAGCTGCCCAGGTTGGCAGAGTGAGGGTACCAGAAAACATGATATCGGTGTTGCCCGAAGGCCAGCTGTGCAACCACGGCCCACTAACAGCTGGCCCAGAGGTGCAGGAAGCTCTGCTGCAGTGCCCATACCACAGCCCAGGTGGCTGTGTGGTTCCCATCTGGGTCTGGCAAGCATGCAGCCATGTGGCTGCAGGTCCAAGGGGGCAGATGCTGTTGCAGGTGGCAGCAGGTCACAGCCAGGCAGCAGCCTCTGCTGCCAGACTGCTGCAGTGGGTAGAGGGTGCAGGGGCCACTCTAGGTTAGGGCTGCCTCAGCAGTCCAGCTGGCACAAGGGGTAGTCCCCAAATCCCAACTGGCTGTGCCTCAGAAGCTCCCTGAGCTGCTCCCCAGCGCAGCTTCTTATACTGCTGGGGCCAGCAGAAGCTCCCTCTTCTCCCTGGCTGAAAATCCAGGAGGATCTGGGCAGGATCAGTTTGCCCCACACGGAAGTGCATGTTCAGGCATGTGTGCTCAGGCACACATCTCCAGGACAAATTTGTGCCACTGCTATTTGAGCTGCTGCAAGCACACGTGCCTCTGATGTGGGGAGACCTGGATCTGTTTATCAGTCTAACTACCAAAATGGCTGTGGTTTTCAGAACCATAGCAGAGGAAAAATGCAGCATCATTTGTGACCTTGTGTGACTTTGAGCAGGGCATTTTCCCTCTTGCTGCTGCTGCTGCTTCTCTCATTCTCTGTCCAGACTCTAAGATATTTGGGATGAGGATTGTCACTGCTAAGCATACACATGTTGCCAAGCATAGTAGGACTTGGTCTCATCTGGGGTTTCTAGGTGCAGCTGCATACAAATAATAATAGTTACACAATTTGTATTGGTAGGAAGTCTTGTTAAATATGCTATTATGTATCTGTTAAATCAGTATCTATGGCATCTTTTCATGCCAAACTCTTTTGTATGTAGTTTCTGCACTGGAATCTTGATTTCCATCACTGTCATGTAAACACATCTGGGATGGAAAGCAGCATTTATTCAAGATTGCATGTCACTATAATGCAACATGTTCAAACTGTATTTAGTTGAAAAGTGCAAAAGAAACTTAGTCAGGTGGGCAGAATGCAATTAACTCAGCACTGCAAAATTCCATTTACCCTCTTCCCTCAGGCAAATCAAATCTGGCAAAGCAGAATTAACAGAGCTGGAGTCTGGCCAGCAATAAGATTAACACCCTGATTCTTACTGAGAGTGTCACAGGATTATTAACACCTAACCAAAAAAAAGCACCTAGATACTCCTTAGGTCTTATCCAAGTATTCACCCCCATCAAACACTGCTTAGCATTTCATATGATAGAGAAAAAGCTCACAGAGCACAAACTACAGGTCATGGAGACATTCATGACAAATCAGTTGACAGAGTTTTAAAGCACTATGTAAATACCAGCCCTGTTCATTGAACTGTAACACTAGGTATAGATTTTTTTTGGATGTGGCCATTAGTAACTATAATTTAAAAATGAAAAAGAAGCCATTTGTAAATTTTCCAAATCCTATAGCATTTGTATTTTTTTTGTGGCAAGCCATGTTTCTTTCAGGTTGCAGTTTGTGCACTTTAGGACAACATTTGTGTTTCCTTCGGGTAATGTTGTGATGAAGAAGCTTGCTAAGTCAATGGAGGATCTTGGAGTCCTTAAATTCTAAGAGCTGAAGCAGTCACTTATTTTCCTTGCATTCAGTGTCCCATCTCTGCGATATAT